CTGGCAGGGAATCCTGAAGGAAAGAAGTCATTATTGATAATTGGGAACTAGCCATGAAAATAATTGTCATGCCATTAGCCATTATGACCAAATGCACCACGTGGCTAGAGGACAACAGATGTCTGGAAACTTTAATTTCTTTTTATTAAGATATTACATTTCTGTAATACTTGATAGCTAAAAATCACCCTATAAAATAGAAGTAGGTGTGTGCCGTACTTGTGTGTGAATTATTTTCAGTTCATACACATTGTTATCACAAGCTCTGTGCCAGAAACCATTTTCCTGCTGGCATTTTTTGTTTTCTTCTGATGTGAAAAGAATTCTGATAGCACCAATTAACAGTTTATTTAAAGGCATAAGCTTTAATAAAGTAGAGCTCACTACCTCAGTTGCACAGGGTGGCTAAACTGCAATAGTATTTCAATTGAGATGAAATTACAGGAGAAGGAAGAGGGGTTAAATATGTAGATACAGGTATTTGTAAGACAGATTACAGGTACCTTATGAAATAACAGCTATAATATGTTTAAAAAAAACATTGTGTTTGTTGAGACCTAGCTCTTTTTTAAATACTGTATATGCAAGTTCAGCAAACTTTCACTCAGTGCTGTTAAAATTCTTCTTTATTTTTTCCAAAATGGTTGCTTTGAGATTTCCTTAGCCTCTTTGTCCTGTTATTTCATGTTGCTCATGAGAATCTTCCTTAGGTTAGTTGTTGACAATTTGCAGATTCTCACTTAATGCCTGAAAAAGTACAGTGCCATTGTCCAATATAGGTCCTACGGCTTATTAATAATGCATTTGAATAGTTGGAGCTGTAAGCTGTAGGTGACATCCAATTTTGTTCTGTCATTTTGCTTTTGTGGTTTGACTTTTAGTAAGTAATCTCTAGAAATCAGTCTGGTTCTATTAATTGGTCTTTTGATCTCATTGAGTGCATAGCTCAATCTCTTGAATGCCTGTTTCCTAACTAATTCTAATTAATTAATCTTAAAACTAATTCCATTAGTTGAGCCTCTCTGTGAAACGAATCAGAACAAATATAGTGGTAGTTGAAAGTGTCTCTATAAACAATGGTTTGGGCTGTATGAAAGCTAGAAACGTATAATGCCATATGACAATCTCAGAATTTCCTGTATAATGTGTTTATATGTCAACTGGGTTGTTCTACCATGGATTCAACAAACTGGATTTGTTCTATAGATAGATCAAGGCTAAGACTGAAAGCTCTTAAGGTCATGTTAAAATTTGATGAGAGATTCATTTTAGTGGGTCCTGGTAATGTGTGTTGTCAGTCAAGACCTGTTTTATTGAATTGACTTCTTCACTCCATGATTATCCATCATGACTGTTCACTCCTTTCACCTTTTGCTGTATATAAGATGGCTGTCAAGGTTGTAACAAGATATCAATCAATCAAGTCTTTATTACGGTCATGACCAAACTAAAAATTAAAACATGAAAATAAAACAAAACAGAACAAGATATGGTCATAGATTACAGTTTGTGGTGAGATCATCAATGCCCAGCCTAATTTTATAGACAAAACAGCAGAATTTAGCTTTGCTCAAGAAACTATATCATACTGATCAGACAGTAATAGCTGTACATAAAAAAGATTACAATTTTCCAGATATTTTACCAGACATGGTTATACAAAATGAGTCCATGAGTCCTTAGAGGGTACAACATAACATGCACATGAATTGAGGTTTCAATGGGCTTCTTATCCACAGGTGCACAATCTCAATTCTATGCAATTTTTTAAATCAATCCTCTAGAACTGCTATGGGGAAAGTATTACAATGTGCTAGAGTTAATACCCTTCAAAATTTAGAAGCAGCTATATAATATAAATGTCTTGTTTGTTTATGGGGGTGTCTGACTACTCAAGCAAATATTCTTGGTGGAGCAGACAGGTCCTGTTGAACTTTCTGGTCTTTAATGCACTTAGACTTAGAATAACTTTATTGTCACTTTAAATATACATGAATTGGCATACATTAAAATGAAATTTTGTAGCTTACAGCTCTCAAAGGGTCACCACTTCCAATATACTCTACATAAACATGACAAAACAAACAAACAAATAAAATATGTATACACACACACACACACACACACACACACACGCATTACATATTACACAGAGAAACAACACAGTCTAGTTCGGATATATATGTAGTGAGAAAAACAAATATTTGCGAGTTTACCAGATGGATGGGATAGGGAACAAAACTGTTACAGAATTGGGTAGTCCTGCTAGAAATATTTTGAAACCTCCTTCCAGAGTATGTGGGCTCTCTAACAATGCTTTGAGCTTTAAGCACATAGCGCTTATAAGCAGTATCCTGAATCATGGGAAGTGAATTTCTTATAAACTTCTCGGCTGTCTTTACCACTCTCTGTTTGGACTTTCTATCTGAGGCACTGCTATCACCAAACCAAACAGTGATGCAATTTGTTAAAACTCTCTCAATTGTGCCTCTGTAAAAAGTGGCCAGGACAGAAGGAGAAAGATGTGCTTTCCTCATCCAACGCAGGAATGCACACTTCACTAGGATGACATGTGGAGAGACCGATTCAGATTGTTATCTGCACCCCCAGATACTTAATAATGTTGACTACCTCTACAGCTGCATCCTTGATAATGAGTGCATGCTCATAGCCAATCACAAGGAATATCTCCTTGGAGTGGCCAAGATATTGGAGGCTTTTTTTTTTTTGGCCTACCCCATATTGATTTATAATTATCATCCATAAGGAAATAGCTGTGGGAAAGAATATTTTAGCCAATGTGCTTTGATGCAACTGTTTCAACCTTAGACAACCCTGTTTACCACCTTGTATTATGTTAAGAATGCAGCAAGTTAACCCTTAGAAATTTGTTTTAAACCCTTTTGAGAAGGTTAAAGAAGGAATAAGGTACCTAACTGGGCACTGGAAGGCAATTGTGCAGAAGCCTGAGCTGGGAAAACAACTTCAATAGTTCTGGTATATATTGTGCTCCTCTTATAAAATAGAAGGATTGGATTGTGGCCACCGCTTCTTGAGCATTTTGTATGGCATAGCTTTGATGTGCGCTGTGTTTAGATATATTATACTGCAACTCTGTGTCTTGGATATCTCATTCAAAATATATGAGTGTTTTGGAAGAGTAGTTTTTACCTATTCCAACTTTACACTTCTGCTAGGTGTACAGCACTTCCTAATTTGAAAAAGTTCAGAAGAAAGAACGCCCTCATGATGGATCTGGGAAACCAGGCCGACTGGTTTACATACATTAGTTCAAATAATGCCATGCAGAAAAATGGTCCTGCATTCTTTTTGACCAGTTCCTATTCAGTATTATAGTTGGTATGTGCTTTTAGTAGGAAATTAGATAACCTGTGACCTATTGAGTCATTGTTTTAGAAATATTTCCTTATTTTATTTAAACAAAGAAACATCAGGAATCTTCCTTTCCTTTCCTTTCCTTTCCTTTCTCTCCTCTCCTCTCCTTTACCTTTCATTTCCTTTCCTCCTCCCCGTCTCTTCTGAATCCTTGCTGGCTTTCCCAATTTCTCTGCCTGTGTGAAGCTTGCAGGAAGAAAGTCAATGGGAAAACCAGCAAGAAATTGCAAGTCCAGTGCCAGGTAAGGTGGCTGCTGCTGGGTAAGGGAAGGTGTGAGGTTTGTGTGGCTACAGGTCAAAAACTGTGTGTGAGAGAGTGGTGTCATATGGCTGGGAAAGATGTATGGGTGTGCACCAGAGATGATATGTATGTAGGGGAGGGCACACAGGTGGACTACATATGTTGAATAGGGTGCACAGTGAGGCAGCGCCACAGCACAGGTTAAGAAGTGTGTGTTGGTCATGGAGATTTGTAAGAAGAACTGCACAGACCAAATAGTCTGTGCTGGGAAGGTGGCAAAGGTGAAGAAGAATGCATGGGGGTTACAAGGGTAACTGACATTGCCAAATTTCATTCCTTCAGGAGTCCTGAGTCCTGAATGAGAGTTTTAGCAGTATATAGATAGAGGAGACGATACCAGGATATAGACAAACAAGATGAAGTTTGTAAGGATTACACAAAGGATTCTCCAATTTGGCTCTCTTCAATAGAGTTTTACACCGTCGTGGACTCCATTTGGATTTTTTAAAATTACCCTCCTGGTGGATGCCTCTGGATCGACTATAATTCTCATTGTGCTAAATGAAATAGCAATGGCCATATAAACAGGAGATAATGGGAATTGCAACCCAACGTATCTGGAGAATGGAAAGACTGTGCTAGTGGAGTCTGGAATAAAATAAGTAGCAGTGTAAATAAATCTAGCCAACTTTGTATTCTTTTAATATCAGAGAATTCTTAACTAGTATGCAAGTTATAATCTAGATAGGGTACAAGTTACTGGAAAGTAATAATGTGATAAAAAGCAATAATTTGAGTTAAGAAATGGAATGTGACACCGAGGCTGCTATTTACACTGAGTTACAGTGTAGTACATTTGTATGATGAATGCATGGGTAACTAAATGGGTTTCCTTTTCTATACATTTATTTTACATCCACCGCTCACAGATGTCCCTCTCTCTTTTTCATTTAATTCCCCCTATTAAACAAAAATTAAGTATAAAGTGGACCATGTTCCACAGGCTTTATTTTCACTCACCAATTTCTGGATGGAAAAAGTTCTTCGGTGCCTAACTTTTTCATAGGCAGAGTTCACATCAGACTTCCTCAAAGCTAGTTTTTAATTGTTTATCTAAGATTTTAATTCAGGAATGTAATGCATATAAATGTAAAGGAAGGCATCTAAAACAGTACTGTACATATGATCCAGGCTATCTAAGTTGTCTCATCTATGTTGCCATTTTTGACTCTTACTGTGTTTTGGAAATAACTTTTTGGGGAAGAAACTCTTAGTGGTAAACTAAGGGGCAGGCAATGTATGGAAGACTACTTTCAATTAATACTGGATTTGGTTATTGCTGACCTTTTTATTATTTTTACAGTGTTCTAAATCGCACTCCTGCAAATTTGATTCAGGAAATAATTTTAGTGGATGATTTCAGCTTGGATCGTAAGTATTACTTTTTTCCCCTTTGTGTTATATTATGTTTATTCTCCTACCCTCCCTCCCTCCTCCCTCCCTTCCTGATGTTTCCATTCATTTTTATTTTGGGGAATAAAAAGCTAATTGGGGAAGAAGTAATTTTTTTTCTGGCTTGGAGTTGGGGAGGAGAACAACTGTGTAAGGAAAAGAAAAAAGAAAAAAATTGGCATTTTTCCATACCTTTTCAGAGAGACAATCCTAACCATAAAGTTCGGCTGTTCTATTAGATTTCATTAACTATCAATTGAGGGCCATAATCATAAGGATAGCAAGTAGCGCACACAGCTAGAATTCTCAATTACATAAGCTTAATACAAAGAAGATAATGCATACTATATTGTGCTTCTTGTAGATGAGAGCTGTTCTTGCTGGGGGTTTTATAGAGCAGAATTATCCCAGAGCAATAAAGGAGAATACTATTGCAAAATTCATTATCCTTCTACCAGGAACCTTGAGCAAGAGCATACTGCTTTACTCCCGCATTGCAGATGGACTTTTCAGTGGTTTTCTCTTAAATATTAGAATATGTGGCTAAAATAATTTAGAACCTCAGCTGATGAAAGCTATTTTGAGAACCAAATTAAGTGAGACATTGAGGATATCATTAACAATTGCATCAGTAATTTAAAAAGAAAATTCAAATAGTGGGGTAGGGGACTTGATTATTTTTGTTAGAATCCTATAGGGTCAGCTTATCCCAATCCCCTCATGCTAAAGAATATTAACTCATTACTCCCTTGTTGTATTTTTGGATGAAAATCACCCATCACCAAACCCTTAATACTTGTAAAATCAAAAGTTGTATTGTGAGCTTTTCTTCTTATTGAAAAAATATATTAGTAGAAAAGGCCATTCTCTTTGGGAATTCCTTGGAATTCTATGGATGGAATGGAATAAATGCTCCCTTTCCATACAGTAATCTCTCCACAAATTCAGATGGGTCTGGGGAATGGCTTGCCCTATTATTAAATATCTCTGTGCCTGATTTAAAACACATTGTGGTATGGTTTCTGGGTGTAAGACTTGGGAGCTCACTGATCTAAAGAACTATGGAAAGTTAAGGCTACCACCGTGAAAAGGGTTATGAGCTTAAGAATTCTTTTATGTATATGGGAAGAAAGTAATACTTTGGATGTTAAAATAGATTCAAGAAATGAGTTCTTCATTAATCATTGAAATGCCTTTAAATCATAGAAAGGAGAAGACGGGGCATTATGCTTGATATGGTTTAGGTTTAATACAATCTTAAAGAGGTTGTACTTCGTTATACATATTTTTTCTTTTTTCCTCTTTACTGTTTTTTTCAGCTTATTGTCGTTCTTTCTTATTGTATTATCACCATGATGTGTTTTATTTCCACCTGTTAATTTCATAAATTTAAAATGAAATTAAATCAAAAGAGATGCATAGCCAATATTTTGAACTAGGCATGGTACGTCATCAGTGGTTGAGAGCCAGAGAAGGCTAACAACTTGGGATTAAAAGGTAAAATCAAAAGAATCCAGTTTAAAAATATGTGTACTATTCCAAGAGTGTCTAGATGAAGAACAGTTTATTATATAATGTAAATACAAAATAGATAAATTCTACTCACGTGGTTTAATTCCTTTATAAATCATGAGGAAGCAATAAGTAGATAGCTCATGCATCACTCCTGAATTCAGCTATAAAGACAACATAGCAGAACAAGAGACTTGGCAGCTAAAACATCTTGCACATCTAATCCATTTTTCTTTCTCATGTGAAAAGTCAGGGCCAGAATCTATTTGTTCTCTCTCACTTTGGACATTTTAAATCACATTTCTTTAAACTTCTCTAGGTGTATGATAAAACAAGGTATTTTTCCAGAAGCTTGAAGAACTCTTGTCACTTCCCTTGGTTATTGTAGAATGTCAGAAAACATCTTATCAAATTTCTTATCTCAAATCTTAATTTTCTTGTTGCATGTTGCTGCAAAAAGGATGTCTCATTATTTCAGATATAGAGTAGTCACTCGATAAATGATGTAAAAAAAAAAGAATTGTTAAAACATCAAGGAAGTGGGATTTCAGCTGAATACTATTGACAACAACATACTCATGGGAACATTTCAGACAGTGGGAGCTGTATAAATGGAATTGGTCCAGGAGATAGTTGCCAAGTACTTAGCTGGTGGCCTTCTTACTGTTGCAGGATATCAAGGTTGTGCAGACATGATATAAAAAGTTTTACAAAATATGGAAAAGAACAAAACATGTACCTATGGCTAGTGCTGGGGAATTATGAGAGATTAACATGAGGAAACAAGATTATTCTGGTATTTCTTGATCCAGAGACAAACCTACACAATGCTGAATTCATTCTCTGTGATAGTGAGTCTGTCTCATCTCCAATATCCTAGCTTCATAGATTAATTCAGACTGAGCCAAATGTAAAAGAGACAAAAGAACAATCCAGTGAATTTGGAATGAAACTGAAAAAGCTAATCCATGGTGTTGAGAGTCATCTTCCACGTCTATTGGGTACATTGTGTATTGGGATGTAGAATATTACATCAGATTACTCAGTAATCACTTACCTGATGCTTCATTGTCCTTTACAAATAAAGACTTCAAAGCTCATTTCTTGGAAAAAAAGGAAAAATAAAATAAACTGATATCTCTCTCTTCCATTTCCCTAGAGCTTTTTGTGTGCATTTATCTATCTCTAGCAAAAACATGTAAATCCGAGCAGTTCTTATACAGAGTTAGCTGTCATATTGCCAAGCAACGTTTCTTCTTTTGTTGCTTAAAAAAATACCACTATTGCTAGCTGTGATGGTGAAAAGAGAGCAAGCTATCTTTTTATATTGTTATGGATCATAGTATCTGTGCTGGTTCTCACACTGTGTTCTAGTTCACACTTTCTTCCAGCTTTCTATATTTTCTTCTTGTTGTTTTCAGTTCCTTTCCCAAGTAATTAAAGCCTTGTTAATTAGTACTGGCCATGCAATCACAGACAAATTTTGTTCTTTAATTTGTTCCTATTTATCAGCTCTAAACGGTGGTCGATTAAGGTTTAGTCTGTATTATTTTCTCATCAGTTACATCATCCTCAAAGACAATGTCCTGGAACTGAAATATGTATGGAAAACATGTTTTCTTAGTCTCCAAAAGCTATAGATAGTTACTGGCTAGCATATCCTGCTGTTCTTTTGGTGGCTCTTCTCTTGTTCAGTCCAACTTGATGTTTTTTTCAGTCTGGAGGAATTTCAAGAGGTGGAATGACATATTATATGGGGAAAACACCCTAACACAGGGATCTTGCTGACAATTACAAAGGGCAACATAAGGGATTGGGGCAGGAACTGAAATATTTCCTCCATCTCTTGATTTTCTCCAGCCCTTCTTTCTTCCTTCTTTTTCAGAATGCTTCTTTTTAAGCTTGGAGATGACTGGAGTAAAAAAAAAGAAAAAAGGAAGGGGGTTAAGGATAAATCAGCTCATTACTTTTTCATTACAAACGATCTCTATGCATTAAGGAATTGGTGTGCTTTGTAAAACATATTTTTAAAAAGTAACATGATTTTTTATTCTAAACTAGAAGTGGGCAATTGTTTTGTGGCTAAAGACTACATTTTGCATTTTTTAAAGAGGCCATGGGCTGCAATCTGGTGGGAGCAAGTTGTATTTGAGGTCTGCCTATATTATGACTGACAAAGTATTAATAAAATGATAGGAAATTGTGTCGTCGCTTTTAAACAGTCAGATAAGCTCTAAGTCTTCAGTAAGGAGAATTTAGGATCACCTTTAGCCCTGAGATAAGCCCACTGCAGATCAAAGATGTTGGGCATCAAACAATGCATAATAGTGTCATCTAGTAGCTATCATCTTACGTAACATTATAAGCTTTGCAAGGCACTCACAATCAAGGCTGAATTGTATCAGAGAAAATATGAAAGAAGTATTAATTTTTTCCCCTTTCAGTTGATTTTGCTCTGAATCTTTCATCTTTTTTTCCAGATGCATTTAATGAACTAGACATTTCTTATCTTACAAAGTATAACCCCAGAGGAATAAAAACACCATCATGAAAGGGAAATGCGGGTGAAAATTGGTTGGCAAGGGAAAGATTTAAGCACCTTCTTCTCATTCACTCTTACTGATAATAGCACTTTATGATGGCTGTTAGGCATCTTTTTATACTTACACACAGATGTAATATAATATATGGAGTCTGCTTTACTGTCTCAAAGAGATTGGTCACAAAGAAAGGAGATGACAGGTTAAATGAAACCTATTAAGATATGGGAAATAAGAGGCTGAACCAGGGCTTAGTGCAACAAGGTTTATTTACAAGGACTGAACGTGCTTGCTCAGCCTGGAACTGGCTCGCAGCGAACAGCGAAAGGGCTGGACCCAGCAGCCTGCTTTTATAGCAGGCTGCTGGGGAGACCCAGCCAATGAGAAGGGGCAGCTGCCCCTGCAGCGTGAACGGACCTGGGTGGGAACTTCTTCAAGGTCCAGGGACATAACAAAACCTATCAGAGATACTTTAAGCAACAGAATTATTTGCTCTGGAATCACCAGATTGATTGATATCATAACTGAAAATAAAATGTTGACCTGTACTGAGAACATGGGACAAATTAATTACAGCTTTCTATGTGTGCCAAATGAACCAGGCATTTCAGCCAACTGGATTTCCTCCCCCCTACCCCACTTTTCTTTAGCTGAAGACTGCCAGCTACTTACCAGAATCCCGAAAGTCAAGTGTCTACGCAATGGACGTCGAGAAGGTGAGTATGACAAAGTTTGCAGAAAGCATTCACTGTTATGAGGCCCTAATGGAAATATAAATGAAGACTTGTGGCAGAAAGAATATGGAATTATCTCTTCTGAACTGAGCATGGTCCTTTGTTAGATCTAGTTTAAAAAAAAAACCTGGAGACATTTTCAGATTATTGACTCTCATTGTCAGGCCAATAGGAAAGTCCAGATCAAAGGAGCTTTATAAAAGAGGGTTGAGATCTAGAGATTAGACTCAGCTATACTGAAAAGGAGATAATATGAATATTTCCAGAACAGAGACCAACTATCATGAGCATAAACCACTTTGTACTGCCTGAATGGAGTTTTAATGTATTAACTCTCCTTCTTTTATAAATCTCAAGTTGCAACCTGAGTACAAAACTCCAGCAACATTTTTAGTGAAAACAAGAAATAGAACTAATAGTTTTCAGCATTGGGATTATAGTGTACTCCAAAATTTCATACAAGCTATCCTGGCATTTATAAGCATGGTAATGTCCCAAAGCACTGCTGATTAATATTCCCAACCAATATTGCTAAACCAGAAAAATATGATAGAATAGCAAAGAATCATAGGGCGATAACCCAGGTAATTTTGTTAGATAACAACTGACATAATTGAAAGACAGATGACAGTTGGTTAGGAATATAATTTAGTTGTAGAGTAGACACTTGCTGCTCAGTAAAACTCCAACTCATCAATCTGTCTGGAATACAGATTGCTGTCTTATCTAGCAGAGCTGATTAGAGTTAGTATTATTTGAGTCAAATTATGCAGATGCAAAATATGGATAACAGGAACCAATTAGACCAGGAATTAAAGCATTCTCCTAAGGTTTTCCAAATGAGAATAAAAGAAGTGGAACCTGAGCACTTCAGAAAAATAAAATTTTCTTGAGAAATCTTAACTAAATACCCAGATTCTCCTTATACTTGAAGCAATTAACATTCCCCTTGCTATCCTTCAAAGCTTCCCCAATCCTCATGAGTAGATTAGTGGGGGTTATATATAGGGAAGGAATTATTATAGAGCACTTCCTTTAGTAGAACATATCTTGTGAATAGAGACAGTTGGATTTTACCTTTGTAAAACATGTCAGGTTCTAAAAAAGATGAGAAGAAAAGACTAGAAGATAAAAAAAACAACAAGGAAATAATTTAAATGCAGAAAGGAAGCTATTATCGGTCAGGTTTTATCTAGGTTTAATAGAATTCAGTTGTCTTGGGAAATTCCTAGGCCTAGTGGAAAGAAAACATTAAAGGAAATATAGAGAGAATGATGTGGAGGAACAAGATCTGAATGCAACATATAAGCAGAGGTCTTCAGAGGAAGGAGAAGGGAGATTTAGTAAGGTGTAGAGGAAGTAAGAAAGAGTGTTTCCTATGTGCTAAGGTCTTAAGTCTTTTGTATATGAAGAAAGATCTTCGGGTAGACATAAAAGGGTTAGGGTTAAACCCTGAGCTACAAACATTCTCCTTTATCAATTCTTTGGTTCATTTACTAAAATAAGTTGGTGTCCTTTCTCTTCATTTTCTTGCCTCCCCATTTCAGGTCTAATCCGCTCCCGAGTACGAGGTGCTGATACAGCCACAGCTGATATTCTCACCTTCCTGGATAGCCACTGTGAAGTGAACAGTGAATGGTTGCAGCCAATGCTTCAGAGAGTAAGAGAGGTGAGCATGTTTTCCTTATCTCTGTCTAGTCCATGTTTTTTTTGCTTTCAGTTGATCAGAGTCATGTCAGGTTCTTTGGCAGTTGGCTAAAACCAAAAGTGATTTTCTACCAAGCAAAGTTCTTTTATAGCAAGATTCATTGAAATAAAAGGAATCACATTGCAAGAATTCCAGCTGTTAAACCATTTTCAATTTACAGCTGATATATCTTTCTATATATTAGGTCTTTCTGATTTTCTTTCCAGCAACCTTTGTTTTCTTTGTTCAATAAATATGTGGAAGCTTACTGTGAGCTGTTTATATAAGAGGATCCATAACTTTTATCAGTTTGGAATTGACTTTTACAAGTGTTACAAACAGAAATGAGGCATTCTAATGTCTTTCTTCTCTTTGATGCATTCCTTATCTTGCTGCAGTTGTTGCTCTCACTATAGCAAGGTCCATGGCCTCAAACCTAGGAAGATAACCAACATGAGGTTTAATTTTCTATGTTGTAGAAGTTTTCATGGAAGGAAAACTGGAAAGCATGAACTCTTTTTTTCATATATATCTGTTGACAGTAAGGCAGTAGTAATATATTGGAAAAGAAATTTTTTTAATCCTGCCTGGCATTTGGACAGAAGCCAAGTTCATAAAAGATGCAGGTTTTTGCCTCCATAGATGGAAGAAATAGGAAGTCATAAACAGAAAGCAAATGCCACTCCTTTCTAGCATTGATGATGTTACCATATTTGGTAATGAAACGTCTTCAAGAAAATAACCAAGCTCAGAGAGCACTAAAGATCCCACAAGTAGGAATTTGTTTTCCACTTGTTTGGTACTTTTTAACTGATAAATATACCTCACAGAAACAAAGATGAAGAGCAAGAGTGCTGAGAACTGAAAGGCTGGTGATACTGAAACCTGGAGTGTGCTGGAGAAACACCTGGTAAAGTTTTGAGTCTAGAGCAGTGTTTCTCAACCTTGCCAACTTTAAGATGTGTGGACTTCAACTCCCAGAATCCCCCAATTTCTGGGAGCTGAAGACCACATATCTTAAAGTTGGCAAGGTTGAGAAACCCTGATTGTTCTGTGCCACTTCACCTAAAGAAAATAGAAGATGTGAGACTGGGAAGTAGACAAAGTGGGACAACCAGGACAGCTGAATCGTTATTGAACTGATAAAAACAAGCAGTGTTGGTTGAGAATGGATAGCTATTATGCAGGTAAAGAATATACAACCCAAGATAAAAGGGAAGTGTATTCTAAGTGACTCATGCATCTGGAATCTCCAAAAGATAGGCAGACAGGTCTCCTATAGTGTGAACTATAGGAGGCTAAGAAAATACTATTTAAAGAAATTGACAATGAAAGGGAAAAGTGGAGAATGTATGTTATTTGACCTCCATCTTCCAAGCTAAGAGAAATGCTGAAAACTCTGTACATAAATAAGTTTATAGAAAACTACCCAGAATGTAGATTAAGTTAGGTATAAGAATAGGATCAATATATAATATATTAAATAATCTTTTAAGTTTTACTATATGGTAATTTATATCTCTGAAGCAATAAGTAGAATAAACAATAAGGATGAAGCCCATGTCTACTTGTTTCCCCTTTCTCTGCCTGAATTATCCAAAGTGAATCCATAATGGTGCTGTGTAGAGTGAACATGGAAAGAAGGAGTTAACCTTGAGGCAAAAGAGGAAAAAGAAGAATAAATGATACAGCTGAGTAGGCAGTTCTCATTCTGGATGTGCCAAGGGGTCAGGAAGAAGGTGTGATCTGCAGTAACAGAGATAGGTAGGCTGATCTTCCTGCCAGCTGTAATGCCTGCACATTTTTTTAAAAGAACCTTCCTAGATATTTAACAAGGCCCAAGAGACAGATGGGAGGAATTGGTAGGGATGCAAATTGCAGATATGTTCAGCTTTGTGCCAAGAGGGGAAGAAGGTGAATTGTCTGAGATGGAGTTTTGAAAGCCCTCAGCTTAATAAATCCTCCCCCTCAGCAGCCCATAAATGTCTGATTTATATTTGTTCATAAAATCATGTTGCTGAATGGAGCAATAATAGTGACAACTACTCCTATACAAAAGAAGTTCCACAAGGCAGCTTTATGGTAGAGAAAAAGATTCCTCCAAAATGTCCTATCATTGTGTAGGAGTGGAGGATAAGGATTGGTCTTGGATGTTTGTATGGTAAATTCAGTGTCAACCATTGTGAGTTCATCAGGTATGCCAATATACTGTTTTTTTAAAAGCCACTCATTCATCTCTTTAAGAAAATGCATACTTCTGTCAAGGATTTTGAACATTTTAAATTAAATTACCAGGATTTTTCTTTTTTGTTTTTGCTTTATAATGTTGGGAGCTAAGACAGAGATAAATTAATGGGTTAGTCAAGTGCTACACTTGATCTTAGCTAAAAGGCCAAGAAGTGATTAATGAGTTAAATATAGAGAGAGAGAGATCTCCAAACCTCTGCCTTTTGTCCTGTGTCCAGATCCCAGGGGAATGTCTGCACACAATCCTTACACTGAATAATTTCAAGTTATGTTTTTTTACACATATTTTTTCTTACACATAATTCTTAAGGCCGTTATTTCTCATGTTGGTCCTTATTGTACACCATATCAATTAGCACTGAGATCTTTTGGAACTTATCAGTACCTTCTTTTGCCCAAACAGTTCTAATGTTTAAAGGTTAACATCTGGCAATCTTACTGAAATTGAATCAGCCTAGAAAAATAGATAAATGCCTGCTTCTAGTCCTTTGCTCATCCCTTTGTTCACATAATCCCAAACTGAGCTATAAAAGATAACCATAATAAAAGTATTTAAATGATGTTTATGGATTTCAAATGCTTAATCCTGATTTTTTACTTACAAAGCACTCAGGCTAAGCAATGTTATTAGAACAATTGAAGTAGTATACAATTGCTATTGAAGTTCCAATAAAACTTGAACTTTCTCCTGAGTCTTTTCTTTATTGACTATATATTCTAGAGACGTTTAATTCTTTTAATTCTACCCTAGATTCCATTGCATGCCCTTATCAGACTTTGTGGTGGCATAAACATTAACATCAGAGGAAATCCCCCAAAGAAAAGTTAACAAGAGAAATATGAAAAGAAAGCACACTGTTGAACTATATACAAACAGTATTTTTATTTTTAAAAGGGCTTTAGTTGAGGAAATGTAATTTTAAAAAGGCTGTGTATGCCAAAAAATAAAAGCATTAAGAAAAATGGAGTTGAAGCCATGGAAAAATAGCTGCAGAAAATTTATGGTCTTCAAAAAGATTTACTGTAAAATGGTGCAACTGTAAAAAATGATGATCCTTTCTGTGGATTAAGAAACCCACTCACCACCCACTAAACAGGCTTGACTAAGCAGAATTACCACTCTACTGATGCTGACAGTAAAGTTTACCAGACTTGTATTGATCATCATGTGTGTAGTAATATGTTCTACTGCCATTCTCTTGCAAAGATTTTTTTCTGGAACAATAAGAAATAACCACATATTTTTGTCTCTTTCTACATTTCTCTGTTCTTCTTTCTACTTCGCAGTCAACAAGTTGCATCCAAACTCGGCAGAGTTTATTTGTATCTCTCCCCAGAATGCTGAAGAACTTGCTCGTTAGTAAATCCTTTGACAGAAGAAAGTTACACCTTGCTGTTGTGTTGATTAGTTTTTACAAGGAAACTTTCCAGAGTATCTTGGTGTCACTCATAAGATGATAAATGCTATTTTTGCACTATAGAAGTGGAATTTAATGCTTGTGAATTACCACTTAAAATTGGGCTGTTTATCCATGAATAGACAGACCTTATGATTATACTTTTTCTGCTAAAAATAAATCAATAGAATTTCTGATTGTATTATATAATTACAAATTCACTGTAACTTCTGATATTTATCATTTCTGAAACATGAAAAAAATGAAGAGACAAAACTTGGATTTGCAAAGATAAAACCTGGAGTTAGGGTCTTCATTAGGGAGCTACCTAAAATATATTGAAGAACAGCAAGATCCAAAAATTTGGGTTTCCACAATTTTTTGTTCAGTGACCAGGATAAAAAATGGATCTATCACACATTTCCTGGAACTAATTATATTTTTATGTTTTTTCAGTGTCTTTTGGGGGAAACTTGGCATTTTTGTTTCTTTTTGTTTTAATAATGGCCACTTACACAATGTATTAACCCAATCCTCGATCAGCTCTGTCATCATCTCTTTTCAGCTGTGCAGAGGTGCTGTTTAGCCCAGATGAAGCCAGCAGGAATAATATTGACACGGTTCTGTCAGTTTCTCTTGCTTTTCACCCGTGCACCAGCCTCTTCCAAACTGCCGGGCTAGCTGGTTTTTTAATTTCTTTCTTTTTCTTTCCCTTATTGTAGTGTGCGGGAATGATTTTTATTGCTGCAGGACATACTGAGGACGGGGCATAGATTGATGATCTTTGTTTCTCAGCCTCCTTGAATCAGCAGATGAACAAACAGTGCTGGAAAGGAGAAATGGTGGCAGTATGAAAATGCCCTGTGTGGAATTTATTTGTGGAAATCGCAATCGTTTTTTATGAGTTTCCCGCTTCAAAGTTGTAGGAAATAGCTTTGTTGACTTTTGGTAATCAATTCCAGCAGCCATAAAAAAAGATGTGGGAGGGGTATGAGTTGGCTGACTGAAATGACACCAGCTATTCTGGGCACATACACCATAGATGTGGGTGCAAACATAACTTAGGTGATGTGGGCACGCCCTTGGGAGACAATGTTAGAGATACATGAATCCTATGAGGAGATGAGTGATTGGGTATTATTGACTTAATGAACAACTTGAAAAAAACAAGTCTGAAGAAGTATTTTGATCAGCATATAGCTCAAGTGTAAAATTGGGAGATTTCTCCATGAAAAATTAGCATGAGGGGAAAGCAACCTGAGATGTTTTGCACTATAAATTCCTGCCTATGCGGTAACTGGCATCAGTGAAAATTATAGTCTAAAAAAAAATCTTGAAGAAAACCCGGGTGTCTACTTCTCTACTTTAGCAACACTTTTTCTAGATGATTGCAAGAAGTAACATTAACAGTGAGAGTCCGTCTGATCAATACAACTTTGAAATGGTTGTGCTGTACTTAATGCCTGAAAGTGGAGAACGATAATTGCACTGTGAAAGTTTCACTTTTCGCATTTAAAAAAAGCTACGGGCTACAGTTGTGTGTGTGTGAATATCAATTTAAAAATCTGAAGGTAACACAGGCATATGTGTCCATTGCTTTTCCTTCGACCATCTTTGTCTTGAAAGCCTCTTGAAACAGTACTTTCCTCCTAGGAAAAAAAAAATCCAACATTCTTTCTTTTTCTCTACTGTTTCAGGATTACACTCGGGTGGTGAGTCCTATCATTGATGTCATCAGCTTGGACAATTTTGCCTATCTAGCAGCATCAGCAGATTTGAGAGGAGGTAGGTAAGAAGACAATTGATTCTGAAATACGATGTTTCTGGGTCTTTATCACTGAGGATCTGCCCCATGACAGATTCCTTTTGTCTCCTGAGGCACTTCCAGCTAAGTAATCCAAGGACATTATGCAAATATTCTGCTGTATGCTTGTGAATTGATTTTCTGTGGGACAAGAAGAGACAGGCAATCGGTTGGATAAATGTATGAGAGGTATAAATGGAAGGTAGCATAATCTGGTCCTTATACAATTCTCTGAACAAGACAGGGTGAGGATACAATAAAAGCCTCCTTGGAAACACCACTGATGTTAAATGGTATTAAACTTATGCTTTTCCCGGCTGTTAAAATTGACCTAGCTTATATGTTTGTAGGATTCATAACAGCTGTAACTTTCAACAGGCTGTAGAGCAGGGCTGTCAAACTCGTAGCCCTAGGCCCAGATGCATCACATGCTGGCCACGCCCACACCTGGTTTAGCAAAGGGGGGGAAAGTCCCGATATGTCACATGATGATGCCGTGACAACATGAGTTTGACACCCCTGCTATAGACTATCACAGTTTGCATAATTAGCCACTGCTGCACCTGTGTTTTCTACAGCTGCTGCTCTTCTGTTCACTTCTTTTCCATATCATAAGAACAGTGGTGGGATTCAATTTTTTTTGCTACAGGTTCTGTGGGCGTGGCTTAGTGGGCGTGACTCAGGGGTGTGATTCAATTGGTGTAACAACCAGTTTGTATTCGGTGAACTGGGCCGAACCAGTTGAATACCACCACTGCATAAGAACAAGAAAAAGAACGTTTCAATGGGAACACATGACAAAGGCCATTACATCAAAAAGAAGTTGAGTGCTAATTTCTTTCATAAGAAAACATGATAAATCAAGCATTTTATTCCAATAACATTACTGTCATAACATTTAAAATTCATTACAAATTAAACATTATTAATCATTAAAATGCAGTGTCATTTGGTCAATAATAAATAAACCAGAGTCAAATGTGCTAAAAATTAAATGTTTTTATTGATAACATTTAGAGCAGAGTATTAATAATGACTGGTTCCTCAAAAGTCCAAGCTGCATAAAAGGACAGCGACACATAAATGATTTCCAAGATGTCGCTGCCTCTTTGAGGCACCTCTGGAAGCTATCTAAAGCAACAGGATTGGGTGAGATTGCTCATTCTCTTTACACACATGCTAGATCATGGGTGTCAAACTTGTGGCATCCTGTTGCTGTAATGTGATGTTTCGTAACATTTTTCCCATTTGCGGAGCTGGGGTGGGCATAACCTGCATGTGATGCATCCGGCCCACAGGCTGCCAGTTTGACAACCCTATAGATGTCCCTGCTAGTTTTCCAGATAAGATATTATTCCTCCATATGTTGCACAACCATTCACATTTCTTTCAATACTTTTAATAGTCTCTTGATAGATAAAACTGTATTTGTGCCTGTGTTCCTTACTATTTTCCTCCTCCTCCTCCTCCTCCTCCTCCTCCTCCTCCTCCTCCTCCTCCTCCTCCTCCTCCTCCCCCCCCTCCTCCTCCCTCTTGTCAGGTTATGAATACTGTCTTTTTGTCAAAGAGATGCTTGATCTTTCTCAAAGGATGAGCAAATTCTTAGGCAAGCAAGATCCTTGCTGTTGGATGGACAATGTCCATGATACAGCCTGATTTCATCTATAGTTCAGCTATATACATAAGTCAGTGAGGGTAAGTAGTTCGTGTATTATAAGAATACCAAAAAGGGTTCAAAAAGGGTGAAAGCAGCTTTCACTCTGGAAATTAGATTTTGCCCACAAGAGATAGTGTTTTACATAGGGCTAAATTAGCCTCACCTTTGGTGTATCATGGTAGTCAAGGAAGAAAACAAAATATTGAGAGAAACTATGCCAGAAAACTGCCTTCTATCTATGCATCATGTAAGCCAGATTTCACACTGCCAGGATAAAGCACTTCTGCAGATTAGCCTCAGATGCAGTGGTCAGTTCCATTGCTGACCATGCTGGACTGCAAGAAATCCAAGCACTCAGTCTTTTTCCTAAAAGAATTGCTATGCCTCAAGCACCTTTTTTAATTTTTGAAATCTCCCTCACTGTTCTTTATTTCCTTTTGCGAAGGCACCTCTGCCTTTCACTTTTGCCATTCTCACCTGCATGCATTTTTTTTGCCAGCTACAGCCTTCCCAATACTCAATTTGCAACACTTTGTAAGTCAGATGGCATTTTTATGTGGTGCACATGGGGAAAAGCCAATTACAATAAACAGAGACACTTTGTTCCCGGAAATACATGTCATCCCATTGAGAGTACTGATTAATGTCTCATAACTTTGGCAGCCAATGAGGCATAGGACAACCTGATAGAAAGCTAATGATTGCCTTTCTTTCTGGGAATCAATATAGGAAGTTTGGAATGTTACTCAGCACAGATAAATACCAGTGAGTATACCTACTGTGATAGGACTATCCTATAGAAGGCCTTTTCTGCTCTGGAATAATATGTGTAGAAACAAAAATGCCTAATTGTCATGCTATGCTAGTTAACCTTTAAGTTTGGATACAAGGTTCTATGCGTTTTTATGTTCTACATTTTAGGATTTGACTGGAGTCTTCATTTTAAATGGGAACAGATTCCCATTGAGCAAAAGTTGTCACGGACAGACCCTACCCAATCTATTAGGTAAATTCCTTCATGCAAAATCCTCTTGGAATCCCATTTCATATGTAATCTTCCATGTTTTATTTAATTAAGAAGTGGTCTCACTGGTTGATGTAACCATGAGGAACATTCAGAAGTTATGTTTACATCATTTATGAGATATAATAAGTCTCTTTTGCTCCTGAAAGATGTTAACATTCTTGAGATTCTGTCTGGTGGCCCCACTGCACTGCTACAATAACAGCACGATATTGAGTATTGTATAATCATGTATGGTTTTTATAGATTGCACTTGTTTAATATGGGGAATTTTACTGTGCCTGTTTGAAAAATATGTGCATTTAATTGATCTTTCCCCAGGCTGTATATAAGCTACAAATTGGAATAGAATCTACCTTCTACTTCCAGGACAGGAGTTTTTCCTCAAGATTTAGACAAATTCATCAATACAGGGCTTTTTGTGTTGACTTGCACAGTCACTGGCTTGTGCACCGTGTTCTATTTAAAGCATAGTGGAAATTGTAGATAAGGACCATGAAATCTAGCTAAGCTTAGGGTTTCTTTGAACAGTAAGAATATGTTGCAAGTATATTCAAATAGCAATAACACCTAGCCCTACATTTATGTAAACTGTGTTTCAAATAGATTTATATATGGCAGGATGAGAGTTCTATTTGAGGAAATGTACCAGACAAGTATAGCGCTCTCAGTCTCTACAGCCCAAATACAAAGAAACTTTTAGTCAATTCTGTTTTTTGCTGGTCAATTTTGCAAATATGGACCAGTCTAACCTAGTGTTCTGGTCAGTGAAGAGGAGTGAGATTGATTTGTTGTTCCCTCCTTCTCACAGAATTCACTAGCAAGCAAAAGAAGTATTTCTTTACGTCCCCGATACACATGTGGAAAATTGGGAACCATCCTTCAGTTCATTTTCACTTGACTTGTTAATGACTTTAACAGGCCAGGAACAAGTTGTGAGGCTGCATGATTTTCTCAATTTTCATCCCCTTTGATGGAGACTGCTCTGTTTCCATTAGCTACAGGGGCCTATAAATGAGCCGCACTGAATACTAAAGATCTTCTCTGCATAATTAAAGTGATTTTAAAAATTCCAAACTTTCCCCAAAAATCTCATTAAAGAAAAACTAAGTGATCACTATATATATTTAAAACCAGAAGTTGGGGGGGATTTACAAAATGAAAATTTGTAGTATTGTGATCCAAACCCTGCATCGTTTGTTCATTCATTCACATTACATGCACATACACAATGAGCGGTGTTAGGATCACAACACTATGCCCACCATCTTGCAAGTTTTGACACCTCCTTGCAGGTTATTTAAGTACAATGTAGACATTTTTGTAAATCGATCATGAAAATATTACAGACCTACAGATTTTTCATGTTACATAATCATAGGAAGGTTATTACTTTCCAATTATTTAGTTTATTTTTCTAAAGTATTTTATATAGAATATATTGCTTACAAATGTAGAACAGTTCTATTTTTCACTCTAGCATTTTTTATTTATAATTTTTTGCACTTCTCCATTGTCATTTTCACTAGAACACCTGTCATAGCAGGAGGAATCTTTGTGATCAATAAGTCTTGGTTTAACCATCTTGGAAAATATGACGCACAGATGGATATCTGGGGAGGAGAGAATTTCGGTAAGTTGCTACTATCATTTGACTTTATGTAGCCTCCTCTTGTCAATTTTTCACAAATCAATTCTGAAATCCTGGACACATAATATAATATTTTCTCCTGACTGGAAGGACTGAAAACCCAGACTTTATTCAGGATCTACTTGCATAGAGATAGAATCTCTTTCTTGTCACCAGGCAGTCCTGCCTTCTCAGCAGATCTTTGGGTAAGTCAACATTTCCTACAGATTCTTAAATGACACTCTGGCAATACCTGCATTATTTGTTATACTAGATATCTCCTGTGGATTTATTCACTGATAGGGTCTAGAAGAAAATACTAGTAAATAAATATAAATTAAGTGTTACATTAAATATTTAACTTACTAAGTTTGTATTTTGTCCTTTCAGTGTTAGTTAAAACTAAAAACATGGAAGAAAGAAATGCACCACGACTGAAAGATATCTAAGGATTTTGCAACCCTAACCCTAAAATTTTGAACTGGGAAAATATGGACCTGGGTACAAGTCTAGCTTAGAAGTAATGAAGTCTAGTTAAAACCATTCAAATACCACTACAGTAAAAGATGATAGAACAGCACAAACAGATAAAAAGTTCCAAGATAAATTCATTAAAACCAGATTATGAAATAAGCTTTGTTGAAATGAAAGCACTTACTTTATGACAAAAACTAGCCACATTCCTCAGCAACTGCCTGCAAAGAAGGTGGGGGATATTATGATCACCAACTGTATATCTGAAGATGAGATCCACAAAACACAAGAATGTGCAATAAAAGGGGGAATTTAATAGAGAGCTGGGGAACCTGTTCCTTCCAGTTGTTAGATTTCCACTCTTCTGTCGCCTTCAGTTTCTGATTTGTTTTGCTGCAGCTTTTCTGATGTTTTTTTGTACCCCCAAATCAGTAAACAATGGTGAGCTTCCAATTTGATTAAACATAGGACCTTTGCAAGGTCACTGTTTTTCTGAGATTCAAATGAGGTTTTACCGTCAAAGCCTTGGTAGTCCTCTGATCCTTTTAATAATAATTAAAAAAAAGAGCTTCATTTATTCTGGGGCAGTAAAATCTCTGAAAGCAAAGGGCAAGGGGATAGGGAGGCTTTAGTTTAAATAAACAGGAGGAGGCATTCTGTGTCTCAGAATCTGGATTGCCAAATGATGAATTCTTAGGAGAGTTTAGGACCCTACAGTAAGAAAATGCCAAAAGATTTCAGCTTCAGCCTGTAAGAGATGAAAAGCACGGGGACTTTTGGATGTTATGAAAAGAGATGTGTTCTCCCACAGATTTAGGAGATTATGCTTTAGATCAGGAGTCTCCAACCTTGGCCCCTTTAAGCCTGTAGGACTTCAACATTCCCCAGCCAGCTTTGAATCCTCTAGGCTTAAAGGGGCCAAGGTTGGAGACCCCTGCTTTAGATGATGGCCAGACTCTGTCATTCCTATAATACTGGCCAGATACTAGGAGTCTATAAAGATTTTAAAGAGCGTGAAATTTGATTACTGCAAACACACCCCTAAGCACTGATTAGAGTCGATTACATGTGTCTCTAGAATCCTGACAATTTTTATTCAGGTTTTCAGTCTCAGAGATAACATACAGCTGAAATGGTTTGCTTGGGACTGCATAGATCTTTGTAACATTTTGTCTTGATTTAATTTTGTCAGTGCCATTAAGACCAGGGGTGGGATTCTACCAGTTTGCACCTATTCGCTAGAACCGGTTGTTAACATTCTAAGCAGTTCGGAGAACCAGTTGTTAGAAGAAATTACTGGCCTAATCCTGTAAGGAAGGCAAGAAGGAAACATTCTGGTGTTGCTTACAGAAACTGCCTCTCCGTTAATCCTTATTACATTCTTGGCAGGCCTAGACTTCCTGTCTCAGGAACATCTCTGGGTTTTTTCCCCTCCTTTGCTGGTACTTTGCTTGTGTGGAGTGACCATTCAAAGTTACAATGGCACTGAAAAAAGTGACTTAGCACCATTTTTCACACTTACGACTGTTGCAGCATCCCCACAGTCATGAGAGGCCAAGCGAGGAGATGCGTGCCACGATATGAGTGATATTGAGTTGGCCACATCCAGCCAATAACATGACCACCAAGCCATGACCACCCAGTCACATGACCACCAAGCCACACCCACCACCTAAGCCATGCCCACAGAACTGGTTGTTAAAAAAATCGAATCCCACCCCTGATTAAGACCTCATATTTTCCATCTCTCATTTTGTACTTGCACATGGAGCCTTCTCCACTCCACTCTAAATTATGGATTTTCTTCTTTACGTTAAGGGAATCTTCCTTTGATAGACAGCCTTTTAAAATAAAATCAAGTAACATATATTCTCTGGGATCTTTCAGCAAGATTCCCTTTTAAAAGCCTGCACCACTCCACCCCAAATTATACTGATCTGGTATGTGGAAACAAGAGAAAGGTTACAACTGAGGAGGAGCAGGATTTTCCCTCCCCTCATACAAAACTTCATTTTCAGTAAATTTCTTCTCTTTTCATAATCCAGGTGTGTCTCTACATCTAGCACTTTCATGTCCACCTGCACATTCAGTAGATGGTTATTCTTTGTTTCACCTTATATTCTCTTTCCTTGAATGTTTTCTAGAGCTTTCTTTCCGTGTCTGGATGTGTGGAGGTAGCTTGGAGATTGTCCCCTGCAGTCGAGTGGGTCACGTTTTCAGAAAACGCCATCCGTATGACTTCCCTGAGGGCAATGCATTAACCTATATCAAGTAGGAATGGCTTAATTCTTGATTCCAGTTTAGAGAACAGTAGAGTGGAGGGGCTTAGTTCTCACTGATGTATGGTGCTTGGTCAGAGATCCTTTGTGTATTTTATTTATTTGTTAGATTTTTTAAAATCCTGTCTTTATTACTTTATAAGTAATACAAGGTGGAAAATATTCATAATACTCCTTTCTCCTATTTTTCCCACAAGGGTAGGTTGGGCTGAGAGAGACGGAGACTGGTCCAGGGTCACCTCAATTTTTCATGAGTAAAATTACAACTCATAGCCTCCTGGTTTCTAGGCCACAAGCTTAAACACTGCAACACATTGGTGTTCTCTCTCAATCTCTCTCTCTCTCTCTCTCTTACACACACACAAACAAATTTTTCATTTTATTAATAATTATTTTATTAGCAAAATTTTACTAATTAGACCTTACTCTGGGATATGAATATAAACTCAAAAAATGTTTGAGTTAGCTGACTAATCCTAACCAAATTAATATTGTCTTTTCTCTTTTAATAACACAAGTTTGCAAAGAGAACTTCTCTGATGATTAGAAAACATTTGTTTTTTAAACTGTGACCCAGTTATTTTTGTGGAGATTGTACTTTGGGATTTGGAGTCTTGCTTAACCATTGTGTACTTGGAAGAAATACCGATCTAGTACAGAATTCTGTAATTAAATAGCAGCTCAAAAATGATGATATAGATTTGACACTGAGCTTCATTTAATGTAACAATACCATATCCAAAATTAAGAGTTATAATGAGAGCATTCAGATGTTCGTATCTGTGCCTAGATATAAGAGCTAAGGTCTAGAACAGTACAGAAATAATATCATTAATATCATGTACTGCTGTAAACTTTCTGAAAAATAATGACTACTGATATTTATGGCAGGCAATCATTATTAAGTGCTTTAGGTAACCACACACACATGCACACATATTGCACTTTCCTATTTTCTATTAGTAAAGTCCCAAAATAAGACAGATGATAAGTCAACACAACCATTGCCCTGTCCTCATGTTGCAGTCAATTAGGCCTACTGATAAACAACTCTTCAGATGCCTCCTTAGTGTAAGATGCCTCAAAGTTTATCAAACCTGCTACATAATTGGCACTGCTTTGGCACAACCCAAAGTAGGCAAGAAAGTTAAGGGGCTATAAATGAAACACCTAGATCTTTCTTATGTGCAACAGAGCAGTGGTTATTACAATAGTAATAGATAAAGAATTCCTTAGTTGCCATTCCCACAATATGTTTGCTTTTCTCCATGTTAAGAATACTGCTGAAAAATGCTTGGCTGTTGGAGTTAAATAATCTTTAATGATGGACTCCAACATTATGCGAGTAGAAGAATGCTTGTGCAACAGGATGCTTTATTTCTTTTAACTTTTTCTGCAGCCCATCAAAACTTGATTAGGAGTATTCCTCAGTCCCCCCAAAAGACTTTGAGTGTACAGGAGATTGTCAGAAATGATTCTACTCTAAGTTAAAATGAATAAAAAAATAGAATACTGTATATTCATAACACTTGCTCTGGGAATCTAAGTTGTCTTCCGTTGAGATGTTTAAAGGCTAAAGTTCGTAGAAAATGGAATGTATCTTCCTTAAATACTCACACTCTTATATTCCATTCCTTATTGTCCGTGATTTCCTCAAGTTGCAGAAGAGTTGTCCTCCACATCACTGATCAGGGAGCTGTTCTCATCTTTAAGCAAATGAGAGTACAGCTCTCCTTCAGACATCCTTGTGAAGGTCAGGGAGAATAAGGGACCTGTTGAGTGGTAAATGAAGATATAAATATGGGGGTAGAATACCTGACCCTATTATCTTTGTGCCTCAGTCATCACTGTTTTTTAGAATGCTTCAGATATGTTCTTTTTAAATGTTATACACTGAGTCTATTTTGTTCATGCATTGAGGAAAGACAGCTCCTTTTTATTTGGTGTCTACTTTTTGAGATTTTTCTACTCCTGCATCAAAGTTTAATGACAGTTAAACAGGATAGCAGATTCTTGAAAATGTGCTGCAACGTCATGTTGTGGCAAGATGGCCTGTGCAACAATGACCTTTAATAGGACTTATCTCGTCCTACCTGCAGAAATACCAAACGTACAGCAGAGGTATGGATGGATGAATACAAACAGTATTATTATGAAGCCAGACCTTCTGCCATTGGAAAGTCATTCGGAAGGTAAGGATGTAAACCACTTCAGTTAAATTGCTCAGAATCGTTGTAATCTTTGAATCTTTTGTTCTTTGTGAATTCAGGAAATTGATTGTCCTGAAACTCCCTGATTAAAATACAAATCAGACAATAACTGGTTGGGTATGTTTTGATTTATACTTCAAAACATGTTTTAAAATATACATTATAAAATAAAATTAACTTAAAAGTGTGTATTTTGGGCACAAATAATATTTAAAATGTAAAATTTTCAATAAAGGATGTGCAAAAAAAGTTACTAAAATTAAATTATTGAACACTGCTGAAGAAGAATAATCTGTATAGTTCCTGCAAAAGCAAAAGCCTGTCTCGCTAATTTTTTACATTCTTTGAGGAGAATAATAATTTATTAAACATATGCCACTTGATACCCAGTGGATCTGTTACAAGATACTGTATACTTGATCTTTTGAAAGTTTTTGGCAAATTCCTTATTCAAATCTCTAGGACTGAGTAGACATGGAATAAGGAGAGAAAATTATTTATGGCTTGGTGAGCAGTTAAATAATTCAAAGCAAAAATAATATTTTCACAAGGACGATGTCATTAATAGGATTTCTATTTATTTTATTTTATTTATTTTGATTTGTCAATTGCTTACAAGATAATAGGTATAAGTATATACATAGTTATGAATACACGAAATGGGTACATATAAGAAAAATAAAAGAAACAATAGGACAGGGACGGTAGGCACGTTGGTGCGCTTATGCATGCCCCCTACATACCTCTTAGGAAAGGGGTGAGGTCAATAGTAGACAGTCTAAGGTTAAAGTTTTGGGGGTTTGGGGAAGAAACTACAGAGTCAGGTAGAGTATTCCAGACATTGACCACTCTGTTGCTGAAGTCATATTTCCTGCAATCAAGTTTGGTGTGGCTAACCTTGAGTTTGTATCTATTGTGTGCTCTTGTGTTGTTATGGTTCAAGCTGAAGTATTCATTGACAGGTAGGACATTGCAGTGTATGATTTTATATACCATACTTAGATCAGACCGAAGATGGTGTAATTCAAGGTTTTCTAGGTCTAGAATTTCAAGTCTGGTGGCATAAGGTATTCTACAACGAGTAGAGGAGTGGAGAATTCTTGTGAAATATTTCTGGACTTTCTCAACTGTGCTAATATCAGATACGTAATGTGGGTTCCAGACTGATGAGCTGTATTCGAGTATTGGTCTAGCAAATGTTTTGTATGCTCTAGTTAGTAGTGTGTTATTACCAGAGAAAAAGCTACATAGGATTAGGTTAACAACTCTTAATGCCTTTTTGGCTATATAGTGACAGTGGGCTCTAGCACTTAGATCATTAGAGATGAGTATTCCAAGGTCCTTTACAGAGTTTGGATCATCAACAAGATCTTGACTATTCAGCTTGTATTTATTTTCTGATTTATTTTGCCAATATGTAAGACAGAGCATTTATTTGTTGAGATTTGAAGTTGCCATTTGTTTGACCATTCTGATACATAGTCAAGATCTTTTTGAAGGGTAGCAGTATTATCTGTGGTATTGAACAGCTTTACATCATCAGCGAAAAGAACGCAGTTGCTTTTAATGTGATCAGAGAGGTCATTTATGTAGAGTATGAAGAGAGTTGGTCCTAGAGCACTAGACACCACTATTGACAGGTACACAATTTGATAGGAAACTCCCAATTTTGACCATTTGTTGTCTGTTTGACAGGAATGTTTCTATCCAGTTATGCAGTTGTCCAGAGACACCATAAGATTTTAGTTTTAGGAGTAGTTTGTCGTGTACCACTGAATCAAAGGCTTTACAGAAGTCTATGTAGACTGCGTCTATTGCTTTGCCCTGATCGAGTTGTGTAGTCCATATGTTTTTGCAGTGTAAGAGTTGCAGATTATAGGATAGTTTTTTCCTGAAACCAAATTGTTTTTTGGAGAGTAGGTTGTTTGTCTCTAAGTGGAGGATAATGGATTGATTAATAATTGATTCCATGACTTTACAGGTGACGCAGCATAAGGAGATTGGTCTGTAATTTTCAACTAGGATGGGGTCTCCCTTTTTGAAGATGGGGATGACCATGGCTTGTGACCATAGGTTAGGCAAGGAGCTGGTCCTGAAAGATTTTTCAAAGATTATGCTTAGAGGTTTGGCTATGGCAGTGGACAGCTTTTTTAAGAAGTAGGCACATATTCCATCCGGTCCAATAGATAGAGATGGTTTTAGTTTGCGTAGTGCTTTTTCAACATTGTCTTCTGTAAAATCAATATGTATTAGATCATTGTAGTTGTCTGTGGTTCGGCTAGGAAATACTGGGCATGATCCATTGCTGTTTACAAATACTGAGCCGAAGAATGTGTTAAAGATGTTGGCTTTAATGGTGTCGTCATTGCAGTCTTTACCATTAGGTCCTATTAAGGGGTGGGATGGACCTTGAGTCTTTTAGTTTGTTATTTACAAAATTGTAAAAAGCACGGGTGGAATTGGTGGATAGAAGGTTTTCCTCTTGTTTAATGTGATAATTGGTGCATTCAGTCTTTATCTGGTGGCATAAATTTTTGTATCGGCTTTTGAAATTGGCAACGTGACCAGATTTGTTTTTCCGCCAGAGTGATCTCTTTTTGGATTGAAGTTTCCTTATTGTTATGGGTAATCTGTTTTTTTGTTTTGTTTTGGGAGTTGTTGTTGGTACATATAGTTTGATGACTCTTTTGACTTCAAGTAAAAATATGTTGTAAGTACAGTATACTTCAACAGTATTGCATCCAGTGAATAGAGATTTCCAATCAAGGGATGAGAGATCGTTGTCTATAAGATCATAGTTGCCTTTTTTGAAGTTATAATTGGGGATTATGTCATTGTGATGATTTTTGTGTGGGCGTATGTTGAGACAAAGGTCAATCATATTGTGGTCACTGCTGGAAAAGCGTTCTTTAGTTTGTATTCCATAAATTAAATTCAAACTATTGCAGAAGATGAGATCGAGGCAGTTGTTTAGTCTAGTGTTGTTGGTTACTAGTTGTTCCAGTCCCAGATTTGTAATAGCATTGTAGAAGGTTGTGTGTATGGGTTTAGTTGTACATTCATTTAGGGTCCAGTCAATATGAGGTAGATTGAAGTCACCAAGAAAGATAAAAGTGGACAGGATGCTGCCCATATTAGTAGTGTATTTAGCTTGTTTACATTTTTGATGTCATAATCAGGTGCTCTGTAACATAGTAAGAATCAAAATGTGATATTTAAGGATAGTTCACAGATGACGGTCTCAGGAAGAGCAAGCTCCTGGGTAACTTGGATGTTTTTTAGATGTAAGGACTTTTTATAGAAGATAGCAACACCACCTCCTCTACGAATTTCACGATCTGATCGGAAAACATGATAGTCTCTTACTGTGGTAATGGAGTCAGGGAGAGATGTGTCGAGCCATGTTTCACAGACAAATATGATGTCGAATTTAGTCATGTTTAGTAAGAGGAAAAATTCAGGTATTTTATGTTTCTTGCATTGAGTAGCTTGCATTTAAGGCCAGCAGTAGTTGGAATTGAGGTAGTTAGGGGCGTGCATGCCTAGTCTTGAGTGATGGTCGATTGGTTGAGGTAGGGTTGTGGTTAAAGGTTAAAGCTGAGTTGCGGGTTGTGTGACTTACTTTTGATACAGTCAGCATGGTAGTCAATGTACAGGTCCTTTTCTCCATTGTCTAGACATTTTGAGTTCAGTGAGGAGTACACGGGAGCGGGCACATACTGTTGCTATTTTATTTCATTATTGCTTTTTAAACATATTTTACCTTGAGATAGGTAAGTGGCCACTCTTACCAATGATTTCAAATTATTTAGAGTGGTTAAAAACAAAGAGGGACAATGAAGAATTTTGAAAGGATTTCTCCAAACTAGAAATTAACTAGGAATTAAAACTATGCATGCTTGGAAAATGATTTGGAAGAGATGCTTTGGAAAATTCATGAAAACAACCCAACCTTGAAGCAGCTACATGATGAGCTGTGTTTGTGCTTCATTTCTCAAGAGTGTTTCTTTTATATTATCTTAGTGTTGCAGTTGTTACAAGCAGTTTACTTCAGTGATGTGTCTTGCTAATGTTATTTATCTTTTGACATCTTACTTATAAAACTTTATTCTAAATTTCTATAGTCTTATGTTAAAAAAGCCAATCATAGGACACCAACTAGTATCCTTTCAAACAGACTTATTATTATTATTGTTGTTGTTGTTGTTGTTAAATCTTTGGTAAGATTCACAGCCTTAGTAGCTGGTGGGTAGCTCAACAGCTCGAGTCCTAACCAAGGACCTAGGAACTGTTTTTAAAAACTGTTGTTATTATTATTATGATCATCATCATCATCTCTTTTATTCATTAACATGAAACTCAGTCAACTGAACATTTAAAAATGTATCACAGATACCCATGATTGGGTATTTGTGGTTGATATGGGCTGCTGCCAGCATCCTAGGTGGCCCGGCTACGGGATGATGATGATGATGATGATGATGATGATGATGATGATTATTATTATTATTATTATTATTATTATTATTATTATTATTATTATTATT